GCACTGATGGCAGTGGGTGTGATGCCAAATGTATCTTTATGTCTTGAAGTTGCAGGTCGCCCACAAAAAACAGGAGCAAAAACACCAGTGCCGTTATCTTTTTCTGACAAAAAACTACAATAACGGGAATATTACAATGCAAACCTACCTTCCAGTAACCGAGAAATGAGGCTGTCAACGTTCAGCTCGCTCTCCGCCATGATTCTCACACACACAGAGGCACGTTACTGGGCAACTGTTACCCCGAGTGTTGACTTGAAGGACTGAAGGAGGAGAAACCTCACAGCTGACCTACTTCTTGATTTAAACTCACATTTCCACTCAGCTGCACATAAATGATGTTTCACTTTCTAAATATGTTAGTGAGATGTTATTTTCATCAACAGAAGAAAACTTGGATCCTGGATCCAACCTGGATTCATTTTGGATAAGTTTTCAAATGTTTTGTACCTGTTTGCATCATAGAAATGTCATTAGTTTTTGCTGGATTCAGATAACTGTTGAAAAGAAAATATCATGTGATATGTTATAACATGCTTTAAAGTCACACCAGTCAGTCGGGAAATAATTTTCTCATTTCTTCCTCATGGTTTTTCGTGTAACCCCAAACCTGATCAAATATCACCAAACTTGCTAAAAGTTCTTATTTTAAGGGCCAACAAATATACCAAATCAACAAACCAAAGTTGGTAAATTGTGTATTCAAGTCCGGGGTGCTCCAGGGCAGCTTCAGGCATGTGGAACAAAGGCAAATTCAAAATTAGTATGAGGTCAACTCAAACATCTAAAACATAAAAGTTTCTGGCAATATGATCGTGTCCAACTGCTGAGATTTTTAGAATTCAGGATCAACTAAAATTTCCCTAAATCAACACAGCCCTTTATGGAGTACATCAGCATTAACATGAGAGTATTTTTATTTAACCAATAAATAAATATGTTGGTGTAAATTGTCATTCCAAGTTACGTAATCCCAAGATCTTAAATAAAGGGGAAATTATTTCCTTTTAACGAGGAAGAAATTGTGTCGAGTTGCCTTTATTCCAGCTCAAAGCATCAATAAATACAAAATTAGAACAGATGTATACAAAACAACTACGTAAATGTATCGCAATCAAAGACACAAACAACATACAGTTTCCTTCCATTACAAAAAAATTACATTTTTTAAACTTTGTAGCAATATTAAGAAACATTTTCAATGTATGGCAATACAAATTCCAGTATTTTGCTGTATGCAGCTTTTGTTTATGCAGGTTCAGACAAACTTAAAGACATGAAAAAGGATCAACAAAATATGCAGAATCTGGTGTTTTTGATGGGGAACAGGTGAACTAATATACATTCAGATGAGTCGTATTTCTGCTATAAGGACTATTAAACTACGTTCAAAACCCAGTTCCTTTCATCCCCACTCCGTCTTTCCCCTTTTTGTATTTCTTTTGTTGAAGGTAGGACAGAATGAACCAGGTGACTAAAATACCAGCCAGTAAACACACAATTCCCACAATTACTGGCACCCAGACTGGCACAGATGTGGGACTCTGGGGCACAACGCTGGAACTTGTGCTGATGCTGCTGGTGGTGGCTGGACTGGTCATCACAGTGGTGGTGCTGGTGGTGTCTGTGGGTGGAGATGGACCTAAGCTGTTGATCTTTGTGAAGATGAAGGGACTGGCCTACGGGGAAGATAAATTGGTCAGTAACTTGAAAGAAGCCTAATTACTAAAGATGCACTGAAGAAGGAGCAAATGTTATTTATGAGCACTTAAGCCATAAATATAAAAGTTAGATGTTACAGAGGGAACACAATAAATGTCGTTACTGTTGGGATCATTACTGTTGGATTTATAAAAACATCACCCTCTAGCTTACCTTGGTAGGACATTTCAGCTGAACAGATGCATCAAACGTCTGTTTGAAGGTCTTCTTTCCCAGAGGTTCCAGCTGTCGGAATAGTGACAACTCAATATCATCCACTGATAATTTACATGGAATACAGAGTTACCGTATATGATAAATTGTTACCTCTTAATCATAATACACAGAGACTCATGAGGGCGCGCTGAGATTTGGATTTTTAGTAATTGAGATAAACAGATTATGACATAAAAGCCAAATGCTGTTAAATAATTTCTTTCTGTAATTCTGTAATTCTGTAAATCATCTGACCATGTTGTTCCAAAGGGAGCGAGCCATCAGTCTCTGGGCTTTCTTGCTGAGATGGAAGCAGTCAGCGCTAAAGAAGGAGCGGTCAGGACGGCCATCCTTAGGAAAAAGTATCAAAGATCTAAGACTTATTGCTTTGAGACTTGGAATTTTAGGTTTCTTCATTTTATGTGAACTCAGCATTAAGATTGGAAGTAGCAAGAAACAGCTGTTAAATGGCTTTCCTCACCTCAAAGCCCCTTTTTACAGACAGAAAAAAGAAAGAAAACAAGGTATAAAATAGAAATAAATAAATAACATTCCCCAAGGAATTCTGAGAGCTCAGTAGATATAGGTTCTTTGGAAGTCATAGATTTTAGTTATCTCCGTTTAACTGATTCATGCTTATATTTATTTTATATATTACTGCATTATTTATGCAACCGAACAAAGAATAGGGTTAACAATAAGTATTTAACACACACAACAGCAGTGTGTAATAAAATAAATTCTGAACTTAAAACGCTTTATTCCCTAAATGAAAATGTCAGAAATGAAAACTCTGTGGTTAAATACGGTGTACTGTGTCCGGAGGAAGCAGACTTCATTACTGACCGGCAGTCTGGGCACAATGATCTCTCTAAAGAAAGGCTGAACCACCACAGTGAAGTCTGAGCGGGTGTCGTAGCGGCCTGTCTCCACAAGCTCCTGCACTCCACGCTGAAATGGGAACAATGAGTAAACAAGTCAAATAACCATAAACAGCTACTAAGGACATAGCCTATGGCCTCTTCTGCAAATTGGATCGTTGTTGAGGTTTTTTTGTGTGTGTCCTTGTGTTTTACCTGATAGCCTTTGTTGATATTCTCCAAAATTTGGAGAGCATCGGAGTTGGGCTTTGGCGCGATAACACAGGGGCACAGTATACTAGCAAAAAGAAGACAAAGTGATCGTGATCATCTTAAAAAAGATTAATTGAATACACACTTAATCCCAAACTGCTCAACTTTCAGTCTATACATCAGGGAGAACTTTAGGACACACTCACTTTACGAGCCAAGTTGGGCATCTAAGCGATGTTTCCGCGTGCATTTCTCTTAGCGGTGTGATGTGCAAAACCTCTACTAGGTTCACCAGAGCCCGAGGAACCTGCCAAAGGTCAGCGGGGTTAACACTTTCCAACAATGACAATAAATATGTCCAAGCATGTCCGTTGGCAGTTACCTCCTTTTGAAGGTAATCCAGGCTTTCTTGAACATAGCGGGTATAATTTTCTACAGAGGAGTGCAGCTGTGAATGAGGAAAAATACATTTATTTCCAATGCTTCAGTTTTCTTTTTGTTCCCTTTTAAAACTTGTTAACACTCACTGTGTTGTCACAGTGGTCACAGGCATCATTTCCTCCAATGAACATGGTGATCAACTTCCAGTCGGATTCAAAGTCGATTCTCTGTGAGAAAGACCACAAATGTTAGAAAGAGTGTTTTTCCTCATGGAGACTCTGATCCATCTATGTTGGGAAAACTGAGGTTTTTTTACACACTTACAGAGTCGTTTTTCATCCTCGCCACGAGGGCTTTTACCTGTGAGGGTACATCCCTTGAAACAAGAAAAGGCAATAAATGATTATCTCTGAATAATCAAAGAGGATATATCAGAGTTTTACCTCCTAATTTAAATTTATTTCCTTAGAAACTTGAAAACCCCATGGTTATTAAAAAAAAAAAACTTCATTTTGACAACCTGAGTGGGTTTTGCTGATTCAAACTCATCAGATTAAGCTTGAAAAGCACCAGCTAGACTCACTTGCTCTTTGCTCCCGCCACAGCCTGGTTGAGAAAAGCTTGAGGAGTGTCCTGCTTCCCCGTGTCAACAGAAAAGCCCGTCACATTGGGATTGAAATGTTTCAATATGTCTGCAACAATAAGGAAGTATTAAGAACAATAGTGTCAATTCAAAGCCAGAAAAATACCAATATCCCATTTTTAACAGTTAGTAGATCAATTAAAAGACTCACTGGGCAGAGTGGTGATAGTCGTGAGATTTTCATCTCCACCAATACTGTAAAAAAAAGAAGTAAAGAATTGTTTTTCGCTTAAAATGCATAAAACACATTTAACAGTAATAATGCTGAAACAGTTTGTGATACATTGACATTCTTTACCTCCAGGATAGACCTCTGTCCTGTTTTAAGACATCCAATATGTTGTTTGGCCTGGCAGCAATGCCATTCCCAGCCTGACAGACAGAATTGAACAATGTTTCAACTTTAATCTTTAAAAATGTATGGCTTTCCCCACATGTGTTTCTGTTAAGGGAAATTTAAAAAAGAAATACCCACAGTCAATGAATCTCCCACAGCAGCCACCACTTTGATGTCTCCAGGCCTGAGTTCATGGACTACAAAAATACAAAATAACAGAACTTCAGGGAAAGAACATGTTGACTTCCTGACACCCAGCAATGCACTGCACGAAATAAATGCATGTCATAAGTTGAATCCATAAAGAAAATGACTATGGCAACCTAAAAAGATGGTAAGACATCTTACCAGAGGAGGGGATTGAGTCTGAAGGGCCGAGGTCCTCACAGGGCATCTCTGTGCCTGAAACCTGAGGAGAGGACACACAGGGCAGCAGTTTAATGAGACAGAGTTTGGCACACAGGCATCCTCCAGCTGGTTCGGCTGCAGATAAAACTCACTTCCTTAGTCAGAGGAGCGGCTTCACTGCGGTGATATGAAGCAAAGTTTCCCTCGGTCCTCAAAAACGGCCGGTCCTTGGCGAGGAGAAAATAGGGAACAGACATCAGGATGGTCTGAACAATCATCTTAATGTCTGTTGCTGCACTGATGTGTTTATTAACTGTTTGTGTCGGTTTCTGTAGAGTTTTTCACCTCCGTTGGACACGGCGGCGGGACAATATTTCCATTGTCCTCCATTTCGCGCCGGTCAACACTCGGCTGCAGCTGTAAGACAAAAGACTTTGTTCTCATGTTGTCAGGGCTGGACGTGCAGCAGCAGTAAGTGGGTGTGACGGAGAAGGGCACGGAGGAGGGAAACATTTCACCCGGGCCGCTTCAATCCTCACCAGGTTTTTCCACATTTGAACCGTCACGTCGTCAGGCGTTCCACTCTGCAACAGTAAAAGAAAAAATCTAATCTTTGTCTCCAAACACACCCAACTGCACATCAATTATTATTCTGTGCTAATATTCATTTCATGACAATTGGATCTTTTATTTCTTCTGTTCTGATAAAATGGCGCAAGGGACAGAAAGGGAAGGTAAATAGTATTTTTGGAACTGTCTTTGTGGAACTCACAGCAGCAGAAGAAGGATCCCTGATGAAAGGTTTGTCCTGTAAAGTGACCGTGAAGTCGTCTCTGTCATGGTACCAACCTCTCTCTACCAGGAGCTCATCCAAAGACTCCTGAGAGTGAATTTAAAAAGTATTTTTTTTCACAAAGAGGTCAAGCAAACATGTTTCATGGTGGACGGCGATATGAAGAAAATTTAGACAAACCTGCAGAGCTTGAGTGGCGAGGGCCCTCTGAAGCCTGAGCTCCCCCTCGGCTGTGTCCACACATGGACACTTCCTATCAGCAAAAAAAGTGGGCTTAACCGTCAAACCTTCTTTTTTTCAAAAGATTAATTAACAAAAAGACTCATTTTTGAAAAGATTCTTTGATCGGAGGAAACAACCACTTCATTTTTTAAGCAAAAAAGCATTTCTCAGTTCTCTCTTGAGGAAAAAAATTCCATTTTTTATGATTATGTTTAAAAAATGAAACATAATCATAGTTTTACAAGTTAGTCAATGCTCTTGGACTCTCTCACCCAGGGAAGGGAAACTTACCCTCTGTTTTCCTGGATGGTGTCGTACTCTCCATCCCATAATGTAACACTGACAATGGTCCGCTTCAGCTGCAACGCAGAAAGGTAGGGGAAAATAAGTGAATTTTGTTGAAGTAGTTACGTTCTATGAATTACTAATGCACGAAAGGAAATCTATACCTCCGAGTGCAGCAGCTGTAGAGCGTCATCCACCTCTGCAACAACTCTTTTGATTTCAGATGGGACCTGCAGCACAGATGCAACACGCTTAGTCACAATTAAGCATTCAGGGTAAGAAACTGTGTTTTATTCACAGCTGGTGAGGACAAATCATTTAACTGAACTTCAGAGTCTGAGGCAATCACAGTAAAGATAAACATAAGATTCAGATTGTTGTCCCATTTACCTGCTTACAGGCACAGAGCTTATCCACCTGAACAAAAAGAAGCACCAAATTCCAGTCTAGATTGGCATCAATGTCCTGTTGGAGGAAAAAAGGTACCTTAGTTGCTTTAAGGCTCTTAGAAGCTTATCGAGTTGGTCTGTCATATCAGAAGAGCATCCTTTTTTATTAATGATTAGATACCAGTTATGAGACAAAACAACATCAAAAAGTTATAGTCTGTCAGTAATAATAAGTTTGTAATATCTAATTTTACTTAGATAAGTATTGCAATTAATTATTTATTATTATACACTTTGATTTTAACGTAAAATCTTTTATTTTCACTCAAATATCCTCAAATGAGGAATTAGAAAATTCATACAGTTGCAGGCTAAACTGAAAAGAGAGGCCTGATGCTTTCAAAGTGCAGCTGCTTGAGCATTTACCTTTTTACTTTGGAGATAGAGGGACACTTCCTTTGCTTGCTGCACTAGTGTGCTGCAATGAGAGTATAACATGACATTTAAAAAAGGAAATGTTAATCATCATCAGAGCTCAAATAAATACATGTCACGTGGGAAATCAAGCCATCTGTACTCATGTTGAAGAAATTTAGGACTGTATGCATCTTTTTCATCTGAGGGGTGCCGGACCAACTCAGGATTGAACATGGTCATTAACTCTGAGGGAAAAAAACATAAGTTTAGCACTTAAGGGAAATATAGGGCAGGGGAAACTGGAATAAACTGCACACTTAGTTCAAAAGTCACAGAACTGCATAATCATAAGACAAAAATAAAGAGCGAATATTTTGTAGGTATTAGTAACAAGAGAAACTAACCTGTGAGTTTTGATAGGACCGTGGACAGTTCAGTGCTGCAGAGGAAGATCGCAGTGTGAATTACAGACATCGAATTTAAAACCTCTCCTCGTGTTCAAAGTGATGCCCTGAGCTCACCTGTGCTCGTGAAGTCCAATAAAGGAAAGTGCAGCCACATCTGATGGTCTGACGCTATCAGCTAAGAGAAAAGAGTTTACAACTTAATTGTTTAAACCAGTGACAGTTATACTCATAAAAGGTTGCAGTAATTTCACAATACAACACTCGAAGTAATAGTGTCAGTTGTCAATTAAATTAAAAAGAAAAGAATAAGGTTTTGCTCCAAATACTTTTGGCTTTCATACATGCTTCTGTTCTTGCTATTAAAGTTAAAGGACCATAAATCTGTCCGTCTGACCTACTTACCTGTGGAGGGAGGTTGCTGAGAGGGAAACATCCGAGTGCACAGCTTTTCAGACCCTGAAAAGTGACGAGAGAAGACAATTGTTTTGAGTCAAAGAAACACAAAAAGTTCTGGAGGCTCAATTATCTTCTTTAGAGCATTTTAAATTGGGACTGCTTACTGATAACCATTCATTCTGACAATAAAAAACACCAGTGACTCTGGCATGTAGAAAATGTTATTCTAAATATCAAATAGTAATTTGATATACGGAACAGTAAAGAGGCATGAAAAATAACTACAACTAATGTAGTCATGGAAATGAAAAGATAATAGTCATGAAACAGGGTTTCAAGGGGAATTAATGAAAAAGTATATAAAAAACAATACGAGAAGTTTAATTTCTTTTTCGTATTTGACTCTTCTTTCTGGAGCTGATGACTGTGATATCCAATAACCAAAGATCCATCATATCACCCAGAGAAATTTTTAAAATAGTTGCAGGAAAATCAGATCTAACAACTCCATCCTTAACAAGACTAATGACAGCGAAAGGTACGGGAGCAGACCTGTTGTCCATCTGAGTCCAAGCAGGGAGATGAGAAGCAGCTGCCGGAGCATGGTCTGTGATTTCTGCTGCATCTTCCACTTCTTCCTGCTGGTGCTCAGCTGTCTGTTGTGCCACTATCTTCTCCAGTTGTTCTTGCAAACTATATTCCCCCTCGGGGGGAGGGAACAAACTACTTGTCCAAAGGACAGAGCCATAAGCAATTTACAATGAACCAATGTCACTGATAAGACCAGACAATAACCTTTTTTTAATTTTCTATATATGGGTTTCATAATGTGATTTTGTCCACTGATGGGCTGGTAAATGGTGAAGGGAGGACCCAGTTACCTGAATTTTCTGACAGTAATAAACAGACAGGTGGATAAATTGAGTAATGACATGATTTTATTTCCAACCAACAGTCATTTTTTACATAACATCTACAAACTATGTTTTATTTATCAAGAATACAGAATCACCGTAAGTCGGTTTCTGGTACAAAACTTAGCTGGGGAAGAAACATTTAAAAAAAACTCTATGTACTCTATATTGTTCCAAAACTTCAAGCATTACATCTGAAATTGTTAATATTTGGTTTGGATTTAAATAAAGTAAAGGGATTGTATTTTTCTACTTTGATCTGTAAAAAATAAATGGCTATTTTATTAATTTACTACACTTTATTGCGGTATATCTCTAGCCTGAGGGTGAATTAATAAACTGTGGTTCCCTCATGGCTAAAGTACTTTTCTATTTCTATTGTCTAACATCACGTCTGATTGAACTACAAACTTACAGGATACTGGGAGAGTGCAAGATTCAGGCCATACTTGTTTTATTTCAGGACAAAGTAATCCAAAATTCCCATGATAGTTAATTGTAACCCGATTTTCCAAAGGGTTTTATGACTTTTTGATGGGGACTTCATTTTACATGTTGAGGTTTTTTTACATTGTAACAATTTTGCCTCATCTCATTAGTTTTACATGCATAGAAGTTAGTAGACTCCCACTCCGTTACAGCCAGTGGCTGGTTGGCTCAGCACAAAGACCGGGAGACAGTGGGAACTATCTGTCCTCATTATTTTCCTGGAGCTTCTGTTGGCTGCCTATCAGCTGTCAATCTTAACTGTCCATACATAACACGAGGTCAGAAAACACGCTACTTTATCAGCAAGTGATTTATCTGAGACTGATTTCTTCCCTGATAAACGATGTGAGGAGAAAAAAACAGTCCAAGGAAGCAAACTCACTCAGAGAGAAGCCCTTTACATAACTGGGATCTTTTTAAACTTTGACATCTTGCCTATTTGTGTTCTGATTAGAGAGATGATGGGCGGGCAAACATAAAGGCAATCAATTTATGACATCTTACTTTTTTATGGCACATCCTCTAAACAGAGATATTATCAATGCTCTTAGAGTAACTTGAACTGCAGTCTTGATTACCGTAATCCTGTTTCAACATCTTTGCAATCTGTAATCTTCTGTCAAGGACATAAACTTTGCCTGAACCCTTTTCTGAAGCACAGAACTGTCCACTGACTTGTGCTAATCAATAAGCAGATAAGATGACATGAACCTACAAATGAACAGTTGAAAATTAAATGGCCTATCTGGTTCTCAAACGCCATCCTCCTGCTTTGGTACCAGTCGAGGAATTCAGCAGAAAAAAGGAGTTCAGATTATTTCCTTGCACTAGTAATGTTGCATTCAAAATGAAGCCTTTCATAAAATCATGACTTGATCTCAATTCTTAAAATGAATGTAGCAAAGCTAAATGTGTGGAGAAAAACAGTATGCGCTTATGAAAGGGTCTGCGGCATTTTTGTTTCTGCCATAATATTTTAGATGAGAATGTTTAATTTAACATGGATATTGTTATTGCTGTTTTTTTTTATTATCCTTGTGTTTCGATCTCATTTAAGGTATTTGGTACATGAAGTGGTATGACTTTTTAGAGATGGAATTATGATGATATATGTGATTTAAAAACAAGCCAAAATACCTAGGTAATATGTGCAGAAAAACTGAATACATCCTGTCTTTTTAACATGGATTCAGAATTTAAGTAGCACCCAGGTGTTGATGTTCTGGTGCATGTTTTTATTCAATCACGTGTGTGAGCACTTTTGTAAGAGGATGGGTTTCTGAATTTGCTTGTCTGGAACAGTCAGGTCAAGGACAGACATCAGCTGATCTCAGACAGCCAAATGTTCCCGTTCATCCCATAATGCTATCGATTAAGAAAAAGCAGAGCGGCAGAATCCACATCTTAGAAGCTCCAACGAAAGCAAACGCAACCAATCCTTTTGCCCAATCAGCGTTGAGTACTGTTTACGTCACGCTTTCGCCGTATCCTATTGGTCAAAATCATAACCACAACATCAAGTCGCTGGAATAGGGACAGTTGGTATTCAGCATAAAACCACCAAAGTTGAATGGGTCAATGTCAACACGTAGAAAGAATAGCCAGTACAGTTTCGAATACGTTAACGAGAATTTCATCGATGATAATGCTTTTATGATTTCTAAGAAATGTTTCATATGCCATTTAGGGATAGTAAAACAAAAAAAGATTTACTACGAAAAGGCTGGAACGGAAGTGACCTTTCTCATCACTCGTAACTTAAAGTAAAAAGTGAAAGAAAAGGCGTCTCTATTACGTTAACTTCCGACCACTGGCCATAGTCCCACGATCATAACATTTGGGCAAACGTCAAAAATCATCTTACTCTCTCAAAAAGGGACTCTGATACCTAAACAGCCATTAAAGTGTCTTCGTCTTAAGTTACGAGGTGAGACGTTTGGGCGACAGGTTTTTAGGCCCGTTGATTGTAACCGTTAGTTAGCTCGGTTGTATCATTTGTAGCTATACTATTATTATTATGTTTTAGGCAATTTCCGCTAGATCTTGAATGTGATGTGTATATTACATTTTTAATGGAATTTCATTGTTCGTGTATTTAGTTTACTTATCTTTATCGAATAGAAAACTGAACAGCATTGTTGCGTTTTTTCTTTCTCAGCATTATAAAGCAGGGTTGATGATGCCTTCAGGTAACCGCGTAAATCCCATGAGAAATTTAGTAAAGCAATCATTTGTTGTTTTCTAAATGATAGCAAACCCCCCCCCTGATCTTGAAACCTGCTAAGTAGTAAATGGAATGCGCTCCAACAATGTAAAACAATGTTAAACAAAACTTTTGCAGTTAACCCAACAAAAAGTGTAATATTTTTCAGTTATGACACCCACAGTACTTTAATGTGTGATGCAGAGAGAGTCTTTACTTCAATAGCTCCCTTCTTTAATTCAGATTGTCCTGATAATCAAGATGGGACGCATCTTCTTGGACCACATTGGTGGAAGTCGCCTCTTTTCCTGTGCCAACTGTGACACTATCCTGACAAACCGGGCCGAGCTTATCTCCACACGCTTCACTGGAGCCACCGGTCGAGCTTTTCTTTTCAACAAGGTACCTGCTCATTACCTCTTTAATACCCGGACCGGACCCGCCGTTAATAGACTTCACGTTATTAATTAGGATGATTCAATCATGAAGTTTCAGTTTAGGTCAAAACCCTGATAGCACACAGCATGTTTTTCATTATTTGTTTCTTTTTGTAAAGCAATCACCACTGGACATGTGATGAATCATGTCTACAAACATATCATCATCCTCCATGTCAGATAAACAAGAAAAAAATGAGTTCATCTACAGTTTAGCTCACATCTCTCATTGTCCTGTGTTTGCTTTTAGCCACTCTACTGAAAAACCTAAATCGTACTTTGAGGAAAACAGTTGCGGTTCAAGGTGTGCACTCGCTGTCCTCCAGGTGGTGAATCTGCAGCACAGTGACGTGCAAGACCGAGTCATGTTGACGGGGAGACACATGGTGCGCGACGTCAGCTGCAAGAACTGCAACAGTAAGCTGGGCTGGATGTACGAGTTCGCCACCGAGGAGAGCCAGCGCTACAAGGAGGGTCGGGTCATCCTGGAGCGGGCGCTGGTCAGGGAGAGCGAAGGCATCGAGCCCGTTCCGGCTGACAGTTCCTGAGTTCACCTGAGTTCTGGTCACTGTGATTAAGTCGTGCGTTCCAGAGCTTCGCCTCCAGCAGCCGTGCACACACACATGCATGGACCGTGTTCCTTTTGTGAGTAGAGACACGCCAGAATAATGTCACCTGTGGGTGCTTGCTGAGAGTTCGCACAAGAGGGTGAATAGAGTTGCTTTTCTGCCCATTTCAAATCTCCTACGGTGGAGCGATGGCTGCTGCTTTCAGGTGATAAAAGATTTTATTTTGCAGCGCTTTAAGAAGCTCAGACCCGCTGTTCAGTTTCAAACATCATGGAAACTAGAACATTGATGCCGTCTGAATCAGTGCAGTTATTTCTGTTTTGGGGTGAAGAACTCAGAATTCAGTGACAAAACACTTCTTGGGGATGATTTACAGTGAGAAAGTGTTGCTTTCAGGTTTTAGCAGTGCATTCGCATTCCCTGTGATGGAAAACCTACAACTAGACAAACTTAGAACAAATTCTGGGGAAAAAAACAAATGTTACTCTGAGACTAAAAATAGATGATCCACTTTATCCTTACCCACAATAAATGGAGACATAACTGTGGTATCAGTTATGCTTTACATCTGTTATTGGATCCCCACTTCACTCTTTGTTGCAGTGAATTTTAATTTCAGTCGTCCGCATGATTCAATTAGCTGACTACATGTTTGATCATTTTCACCAAAAATAAAGAGATTAAATGTGTAATTACTCAAATCTTGTTGCATCTGTGTCTAGGGTCTAGAAATATATATACAGTTTTTATTTTTTTATATCTTGGTCACACTTGGTCTTTCTTTTATGTTTATGTTATGTTTATGCACTTTGCAGACGCTTTTATCCAAAGCGACTTACAAAGTAGGGGGGCACCGAGCATCTTTTAATCACTGGCTTCAATCAGAATCTTAAATTCATACAGATAATAGACCAAATCAGTGACATTTTATTTATACACTTTTGATAAATTAATAACATTTTATGGTTTCGATATACTAACTACAAAATTAATTATAAAATCATGGGACATTGTTCAAGCAGGGTAAAACCACCCTGAACAGATAGAAAATAATAATCATTTAAAACTTTAAAAGCAAAACACGTATGTGTGCAAATGTTTGCGAGATCCTTTCTTAACTAGATCACTAAAGAAGAAACTACAGTTCAAAGTGGGACGTAAAAAGAAGTCTTTGGAATTCATTTTTAGTGGTAGAAGCACAGTATTGACCTAACACTTACTTCAGTGGATTAGAAAATATATTATGCGATTATATGAAGGATTATTTGTTTGAATTAATCATATAACTAGGAAAGAAGACATTTATAACATACATGTAGGTAACTGACATGTGAACAGGACAATTGTCTGTTTTTATATAACGGTACATCGGGGTGAGGAACGCAAACGCACCCATGCGTTGCGCTGCATTCTGGGAAACACAGGAAGCAGAAAACCCAACTCACCGATTTGATACGCGTTCGGTTGGACAGCATTCCTTGTTTAACCCTGATTAGGTATTTCTGGTGTATATGGCACGGAACCGGGAGAGTGTAAGCGACTTCGTTGCCACTTGTAGGGACACAAAGCAGTGCAAAGATGGCCGGCGGTGAGTTTTTATTTCTTATTTTTATTTTAAACACAGGCTAATGCTAGCTAAAATTGTGCTTTAAGCACCTTTGACCTGATGTGGAAAATAAACGGACAAAAGACAGATAATGCATTTATTTCATCAAAGCAATAAGTACAATAGTTACATATCGGTTGGTGGATATTAATTGAGGAATGACAAGGACTGCTTGCTACATGTTGACCATTTTTCTCCACAGAAAACGTGAGTGTGATCTTCAAACTTTACTGCCTGACAGTAATGACACTGGTGGCAGCTACATACACGGTGGCATTAAGGTACACAAGGACCATTTCATCTGGAGATCTGTACTTCTCCACGACTGCAGTGTGCATAACTGAGGTCATTAAACTAATCCTGAGTCTTGGGATGCTGACGAAGTGAGTGTCACATCTGGTTTTTCTGTCCTGTTACTGTACACAGTCAGTCAGTGTCATCTTTTGTCTTTGTCTTGTCGTCCAAAATTAAGTGTCAAGTCTTTAAAGTGGTTACTGTCCAATTGAATAGTTAAAAAATCTCACCAAAGTCTCTTGATTAAAAATAAATAAATATTAAAAAGCCATAAGTCTTAATGAAAATGTCTTTCCCCAAACTATTTATCATTTGAAATCAAATAATTGGTCTTGAAATTGTAGAACCACCTTATATTTCACCAGGTTGAAGCAGCTTAATAAAGCTGTCTGTGGCAGGATTTAACGTCGTCATTGTTTAGTTAGATGACGTGGTTAGTTATCTTTAAACAGAAGTGCACTGTGTTATTATGACTTCAGCTCGTAAAAAAAAAACTTTAAAAAACAGACAGCGAGGGAAATGAATGTCAACCTGGTACTTCTCTTTCTTCATCTGAATTTGTTGCATGGATTTCCAAACATTTCCAGAGAAACGGGAAGCTTCATTAGACTTAAGCACGCCATCAAGGAGCACATCTTCCTCAGCCCCAAAGAGCTGCTGAAGCTGAGCGTGCCCTCACTGGTGTACGCCGTTCAGAACAACATGGCCTTTGTCGCACTGAGTAACCTTGATGCGGCCGTTTATCAGGTATGATCAACAAGATTCCTTTTTATATTTTTTTCCCTACATCATCATGTAAGAACAGATGAAAGTGTTGCGAGAGGGATCAGAAAAAGATGCACATCTTCCCCAAAACCACCACTGTGTGCCGGTTCTTGTTAAGAATACACTTTGCATGCATTTGGGAATAGGCTGTAAATTCTAAAACAGATTTGCAAACATTTCCATCGTATTCCCAGTGATATCAAGTCAGTGTGAATAAAGCTGCTGCTCACAGAGAACTGCGTCCCTGCGTCTCACAGGTGACCTACCAGCTGAAGATCCCGTGCACGGCCCTGTGCACAGTCCTCATGCTGAATCGATCTCTCGGCCGGATGCAGTGGTTTTCAGTTTTCATGCTCTGCGGCGGCGTCACTCTCGTCCAGTGGAAGCCGGCGGAGGCCACGAAAGTTCAAGTAAGAGGGGCGGGCGTCGGTCAACATCATTTACAGCCCGGTCTGGAGGCTGTGTTCACCATCAGCTCATTGGAGGCTTTATTTTTGTATTTTCTCCCTCAGATTGAGCAGAACCCCCTAATCGGCTTCTCTGCCATTGCTGTTGCTGTCCTCTGCTCAGGATTTGCAGGTAAAATTATTGCCGAGCGCTGGTGGTTTCAACTTTTTTTAATCTATAAGAGTTAGACATGAAAAGGGAAAACCTTCTTTTAAGGGACGCTTTCTGAAGTTTCTTTAAGTTGTTTTAATGGAGTTGTATGTGCCCTTTTCTTTCCAGGCGTATACTTTGAGAAAGTGCTGAAGAGCTCGGACACGTCTCTGTGGGTCAGAAACATCCAGATGTACCTGTCTGGCATTGTGGTCACCCTGGTTGGCGTTTACATGAACGATGGACAGGAAGTCCTGGAGAAAGGCTTCTTCTTTGGATACACACCCTGGGTGTGCTTCGTAGTTTGTAAGTCTCACCGAGCCCGAGGAGCATTTTTCTGTTTCAGCTCACCGCGTGGCTCATTCTGCTCTCTCCCTGCTCCCAGTTCTGGCCAGTGTCGGTGGCCTTTACACGTCGGTGGTGGTGAAGTACACAGACAACATCATGAAGGGCTTCTCTGCTGCAGCTGCTATTGTTCTGTCAACAGTGGCATCGGTCCTATTGTTTGGACTGCAGATAAGTAAGTTTGCTTGTTCTTTAAATGAACTTTGCTCATGTTCACCAGGTGAACGCGGAAAAAAAAAAACATCACACAACTACATGCACACAAAAACCTGCATTGGTCACCTCTTATAGTAGCAAACAGGACAGGCTCCGCTTCTAATTTAGCTTTTGTTATGGCCTCTGTTCATAAACATGGAAATGTGACTTTTTTCTCCAACCAGACTTATTTAAAGTTATAAAATGGTGTTTAACAATAATAATTGAATATTCTTTGTCTTTTGTAGCAATCACATTCGCCTCTGGAGCAATCCTCGTGTGCATTTCCATTTACTTGTATGGACTTCCAAAGCAAGACACATCTAAACTGAGCCGGCAAGACAAAGACGTGGACGCAGAGTCCAAACAGAAACTCATAACTGTGTGAGACTAAACTCTATCCGCTCTGGGGCCGTGTCGTCTGTGGAGCTACACAATCTGCCCCCCCGGAGGGGATCACAGAGGTAGGTGAGCTCTGTGCTCAGTCCTGAACCAGATGACAGTATCTGCCCTGCTTTCATGTAGATCCGCTCCCCGCTCGGGACGATGGATGTAATGTGAACTAACAATATGATGCATTTTAAAATAATCTGAGATAACACTTAAGTTTCTTTTCCAATGACAAGATGTAATAAAGGGGCCCTTCGCAAATAGCCAACTGTGATATCTGTAAATAATTGGAGGAAGTTCTTGAATTCATATTCAGTCTGTTATTACTCAAAGATCTGTTGAGTAGTTGCAGACCGCTGTTACTTCAAAGCTTTTACATTATAGGAAGTGTAAAATATAACTCCTTTATAATGGAGTATCTTTTTCCTTTTATTTCATTTGATCTGAACTGTGTAATGTGAGTGCTGAAAGTCCAAATGACAGACTTTTACTCTGGACTCCACTCACAGGAGACTTGAAAGGACTGTGCATGTTTGATCCTTTTTCTAATGTTTTTGTGATGGTTTGTCTTTTTTTTTTATATAAATCCCTTCTGTGTTGATTTGAAAGCTATTTTCAAGTTTTTATTAAATCTGAACAACCACGAGAGAAATAAGTTTATTTCCAATATATATATATGGCTCTGTATTTACAGTTTAAAAAAAAAAAAGTCAAGTATTGCAGCGATCTTCACATTTTATTAACGGGTGTGATGCCCAGGATCCTCATCCCATTGGCCAGGACTGAACAGGATCCTCTGAACAGTTGTAATCGTGCCTGTTGATGGTTAGTGAATAAGAATACTTTCAGTATTTGAGAGCTTTTTCATTCGAAGTACACTATTTAAACACATGCGTATCTAACTTTAAAGCAATCTAAAGTACATCAAATTGTTGCAGTTACAGTACAAACAGCAAAAAAGTGTGTAAAGGTGCTTTGCTCTCTACCCGTGCAACATCCTGTGGGTTTCCTTTCACTGGCAGCTCCCTGTGAGCCGAGGCGACGAAGTGGCTGAAAAGGCAGAGCGCACGTCTTATTACCGCTTATTATCCACCGACACGGACTTAAAAAGCCCCCCTCCCCCCGTCGCTCCTTACCACAGCTTCAATAAAAAGTTGACCAGGTGTTTGGGCTGCAGATCCTGGGCCGACTGATACAACACCTCATCATAGCTGAGGACAAACAGGAGACCAGTTTAGGCAAACACTGCCGTGTAAGGAACCGGCTAGAAAAGCAGGTTTTGTTTGCTTACCGGAGCAGGTGCTGCAGGATGGTGATGCCCGTCTGCTCACGCAGGAGCCAAGGCTCAAACGGAGCTGCCTCCACACCCTCATTCCTCCGCATTAAACTGCAGGGTTCAGATCGAGAAGGCGCGTGAATACAGATTATATGATGTTTTCATCTCATCTTAAATGACAAAATAAATGATGAAAGATTCAAACAATCAGGCCAGATGGAAAAACATTGATGTTTTGTTTCTTGGTGGTTACCAGTGGCTACACACACACCTGCAGAGTCGAGCGTGTGTGTACTGTAGGAAGACGCCCGTGTCGCCCTGAGCCTGCAGCATCCGCTCCCACTCAAACTTATAATCCGACTGCAGGGGACCTCTGAAATCCTGAGACAAGAGCGTTCCACCATTTAATTGTCTGTGCATATTTTTCTACCTGGCTGTGTGACCTTACCTGGACTATTAGGGCGCTGATCCCCACTTTCTCTGCCGTGTCTTGGGGGTTCTCCAACTCCTTTGTGGCTGTGGGGAAGAAAGGAAATACGGTGCCATTAAACGCACCGCATGTAGTTTTCTTGAACTTTTTTTCCTCGTCAAAAAGTGAGAGAAGAATCGTTTTGGTGACAGTACTGTGTGGACTTTGCTAGTGAATTCCTCTCATTTGACCGTAAATTTGTGGCTCTGGAGGAACAACGACGCGTTTCTGATATGAAATTTAGTCAGATGAACTACAGCCACTGCCCGCTCACTCAATCTCATCTGGTTTTTCTCGATAAACAAGGCGGTTCCTGCTGTTGTGCACTTTGCTTTTCGAACAGAAAAGGAGGAAGGGGTGGCTAATGGGTGGGTAGCCTCACTGTTTGACTGGCTCATGTTGTGGAGCATCCTCGCCCGGGCTTCATCCAGCACGTCCTCCAGAAACACCACCTCCCCGGTCCTGGTCTTCATGCCCTGAACCAGACCGAAGGACACGTGCCGACATCTGCAAACAGGTTTATTCAGACACAACCAATGGATGAAGAATAAAGGGACAATATGGCAACTGTTTCAAGAGGAAACCATCATGAGTTGTTTTTGAATAAATCCTCCTACGCTCCACTTTATCCTCAAACAGATATTGACTGGATCACCTGACGGCCCATGGATGCCCCATAGTGAGCAGGATTTGGAACAACTGGCTGAAGTGATCCTCTTGACTTTTGTCAGTCTAAAAATAAATAAATGAATCAAACAAAACCAGTTAAACGAGGTCAAGCACGCCCGAAAGCACAACGGCAGAAACCAGGTTGGCAAGATTCTCAATCCGCCTTTTGATATCAAGATCAGACTAGTAGGTGCTGGTCAATAACTGACTGTAAAAAAAACAAAAACAAACAAAGAACACGACATCTTTGTTCTTACCACATAAATCATCTCGTCAAAACAGAGCTTTTCCCTCCGGTCAATAGCTGCAGCAATGTCCCTGCGACAGGAAACTCTCAGTGAGACAACACTGGCTGAGGGAGACGGGATAAAAATGCCGGCAGGGCCAAAGGAAAAGTCTTTTCTCAGAACGGAAAACGGCTGAGCCTGCACTCCTTCAGACCTGGTGATGTAGAGCGTGGTGCCGTCGCTGCGGAGCAGCGTGCAGACGCGGCTCATGTCTCCGTCAGGAGAGAGATCAACAACACCCGTGCCCCTCCTGTCAACAACAAACAAACAACAAAGCACCCGTTTTAAAAGCTGCGGCCGGTTTAACTGCGTCCATTCATTTTTCTGTAGTTTCACTGTAGGTAAACACTGCCACCTTCTGCCACCGCTCTCATTTAACTCTACGTTAAGGGTCAGTCATACAGGTGTGTCTCGTTAAAGGGCGTCAAAGTATTTTTTACTATGTAGAAATTGAGAAATCTGGCATGTTGTCCCTGAGAAAGGCCTTTTGCCATCAGCTGTATAATCCGACAGTGGCGTGTGGGCGTGTTTCTTTCCGTACTCGGAGGTTCTCAGGAGGCCCCGGCTCTGCAGCTCCCGCACCACCTGCTGGGCTTGGTCTTGGTGGAGCGACTCCCCGCTGTAAACGTCGAAGTGGACCCCCAACCGCTGGAAACGATTGAAAAAAAGCGGTCTCGGTCAGGCTTTCTGCTGCTGATCACAGTTTCTGATTCCACCTCCCCGGGGGGGTCGTCCCGACCCTCTGGCCAGGCCGCACCTCGTAAATGCGCCGATACTCCCGGACGGTGATCTCTCGGAACTGTCGCCATAGCGACACAGCGCGGCCCTCGCCCTGCTCCAGCCGTCTGAAGAAGTCCCTGGCCGCCTGCTTCGTGGCCTCGTCGCGCTCCGCTTCCTTGTTCACCTGAACGTACACCTGCAAGCCCAGAAGCCCGGGGTCAGTCTGATAAACCCAAACCGTCTCACACCGCAGCCCTCTCTGCCCATATTCAGCTAAAGCCGCAAACCAGGCTTTCCTCTGAGATGAATATTCACCTCAAACAAATGCTGTAAAGGATTCTCTTGTAGTTTTTTCTCACATCCAAACTGGCCAAACCCAGCTCCGAGGAGACCTGAAAATGTAAGTTAGCTTATGGGTTTGAAATCGGCTTAATTTCTCCCCTTGGTGGGCAAACTACTCACCAAACTGCATTCCCCAGTCTCCCAGGTAGTTCATTCGGATAACGGTGTTTCCGAGGGACTGTTTCAGATTAGCAATGAAGTTCCCTGGAGGTTTGTCACAGAGCTGAGAGGTTACATCAAAAGGAGGCAGGAATCGCATGCATGTGTCTCCATAAATGTCGTCTGTCACTTACCAATGATCGTAGAGCGCAGGTGTCCGGCGTGGAATTTTTTGGCGATATTTGGCGAGCTGCAACACAAGAAGGCACAAACTCTCACAATCCTACTCGTTTGTAGGATTAAAACCAAAAAGCAGACACAGCTAAAAACCCACCTATACTCCACCAACGTTGTTCCTCTCTTCAGAGTTTTTAGAAGTTCGCTATTTAACCCAAACGTGTCGTCCCCCACTTTTCCAAAAGGCTCCAACAGTTTCTGGAACAGGTGAAGACAAAAAGGGCTGTGATCACAGCGGAGACTTTTTCCCGTCCCGGAGGGCCGAGTGTGCCCACAAACAAACCTCTGCGAGGAGCCTGCGGTTCACTTTGAAGTGGACGGCTCCACGCCCAGCAGAGATCTCCTCCACCACGCTGTCCTGCTTCAGCTGCAACACAGAAGTAAAAAAACATGCAGTTTCACATCCGACACACTAAAGCCTTTCCAGACGAAATCACAAAAAACAGCCTGTGGCATCTCAGATGTGCCTTTGGACGCTTGGTGGTTCCTCATATTGTTTTGTAAAACTCCTTTTTCCTGCATTTTCAAACTACAGTCATTTCCTTTTCCATGCATTTATCTGTTGGTTTTCTTTGACTTTGCAGGACGGCCATTTGTGCCATTTTATGGCAAGAAATGTGTTCACCAAAACTTTCAATGCACAATAATTTGTATGCATTCTGCACCAGCTGCTCAGATCCGTGTCCTTGTTGCCTGCATGCTGGGGGTTACCTGGGAGGCCAGGGATTCTGCCTGCTGCTGGATGTCTCCTCCAGGGGGGAGGATCCCCTGGACGCGTAACGCGCTGAGCGATAGTTTGAAGTCCGCACCCTGCCTGAAGGGGGACAAGGGTCAGAAAGCCCCAACACGTCAGCCACGAAACGCCACCATCGCTGCGGACATCAACGTCAGACTTAACTGTTTCTTCATGGCGGGGAGGGCGGTCAGAGCCGGCAGGAACACCTCCTCAGACTGCTGCAGCGTCCTGCCCAGCTAGACGAGACAACAACACACACACCTCAGCCGCATGTTTCCAGACACAACGGACGTTAGCTTTAGCACACCGCCACGCTTCTATCGTCATTACCTTCGCAGCTATGGTTCTTCTAAAGAAGCAAGACATCTTTCCTAAGCATGTAAACACTAAAAGTTCATGTAAAAATCCTCCACAACCCGTTTCACATTGACATGACTCCTGCGGGAGACTACTTCCTGTTCGCTCGTCCAATCACAAGCTTCGCTTTCGGTCAGTGACAGCCAGTAAAAAAAAGGGCTCGCTCGTTTTTCTCCGCGAGTAACCCGGAGTTAAGGTTTATGGTTTGTTAAATAAAACTATTGTGAAAGAAAGTTCGTCGCAAATTTAATTTAATTCATATTAAGTGTAAATTGGTAACAACCCTGAAAGATGGAAGCCACAAATGGATCAAACAGACTTTAGATTTGTTTGCTATCCTAAACCGTACATCTATAGATAAAATTAGTTTAGATATAATTTAGATAACCATTTGTTTTCCTTTTAGTAAATATTCATTGACAGATTCCAAAACTCAATTTATTGAAAAAGTTTTTAAAAATATATAGAAAATCACAGCAGACATTTGTGTGAAGACTTTATTAATTTTCTTTACTTTTTCTTAAAATCAAAGCCCCTTTAAACCTACAGCAAACCAGATTTATTAACAAAGAAACATTTTAGTACAATGAACTAAAGTTAAGCTATAAAAACAAAGAGGAAACGTACAGTGTATACAAATATACAAATGTAAAAGCAGTAATCACTGGTACACTTTATACAATGCTGAAAAAAGCCAAGATAACAATTCCTGGAGTCCAGTCTGAGAGCTGCCCTCATTCACTCACCAACATCCAATCCCTTTTTCTAAAAGTACATACAGAGAAGCCGCACAACTAACATCCTCTGAAAACTAAAAATGAAGGCCAAACATTTGGTGGCTGTCAGCCTTTTACGAAGGCATCAGAACAAAGCCTAATAAATATTAACAGGGTGGTTAAGAGGCCACTGGTAGAGTCCCAGAGAGTCTTCAACACGTCGGCATCAACAGCAAACGATGCCAGAAACTAATGCCAGAGGCAGTGAGACCACACAGGAGACATGGCACAGCGAGGTAAAAAAGTCCAATCAGTCCCACAGAGTCCCTGGAGGAGTTTGCAGCAAGCAGTAGCCCCCCTCCCCAAAAAAGGAAATCAACACAGCTGGACTCAGGAAACATCTGTGAAGGGACACAATGAAAGACTGTTAATGCATTAAATATCACAAGACATCACTATTATTTAAAATTGTAACTCCTTAACATGATCAAAGAAGCATATTTTTCTTTTTCTCCTCCACTAACACTACAGTCTTTATTCTCACATGCTTCTACAAACAAAAAAAGTAACAGTAGCATTTTTAAGCATTTTGTGAACGCCTGGATCCACTTCTCTCTACAGGCATACAAACACCAATGGGACAAACTGGAACTGAAGTAATCCCTTTCACATCTTATGAGTTCTGTTATATGTGGTTAGCTGCATTGCTCTTCTGAGACACCCCCCTCTGCTGGCAATACAGATGCTTTTTTTTGTTTTTGTTTTTTATTGTATTCATTTTCTTGGTTTTGGGATGTTTTGGGGGATAGTGGGAGGATAATCACGCCATCCGTCTTGTGATGGTACATAAAACCTTAGCCACCGAAAAATGAGCTTTAAGATAAAATGCCAAACATGTCTAATCTGCATCTAATCAAGATCTAATTCATCTTAAATCAGATTTCTAAGGCCCAGGTAATAACAACACTATGACATTCCTCATGTAAATACACAATTCAATGTAGAGTTAATTGTTAATGATATGTATGAAATCTTACACAGAATAGTTTGAGTACACATAAAGTGCTAAAGTCAACAAATTAGGGTTGAAATTATACTCACAGCTAGCAGGCTGCTCTCCAAACCTTCGCATCAGCTGGTCGTGTGTGAACTTGACAAACGCATCATATTGCTCTGAGGATTAAAAAAAACAAAAGCTGTTTTTAGAACAAACCCTCAGCTCAGATAGAATGCAACTACATATCCAGGATTTGTAAAAGATTCATTCATACCAGCGAGCTTTGCCGTCAGAATCTCATCATACTCCTCACGGACTTTGTCCTCTCGCTCCTTCAGTAGCCTCTCACAGATCATCCCAACCTGCCTGAGGGAAAACAATGGCTGTTCTTTCCTGGTGGGAGATGAGGGACCCGCCGATGTGCCTGTCAGACAGTTGGTGTGGGACCATTAACACGGGATCAAGCACTCGACACAGCGATGGGTTCATCCTCAACATGATGTGCACATTAAACAGACATTATTTTCCTACTCATTTAAGGGAGGCTGTTTAAAGACTGGGATTTGAGTCATATAATAACATCGTAATAACAAACCACAAAAAATAGAAAGTGGGGTATCTCTTTGGGGTATTTCCAAAGTCAGGTCATGGTTGTGCCCAAACCAAAACACCCAAAGGCACAATGGCCTTGAGAAGGCAAAGGGAGTTCATTACCAGCTATTAGCTGCTTTAAAAAAGTCTCATCTGAGCACTTTACAAATAGAGAGAGAGATTGACTACCTGGTAGAGGAGAGCCACCGTGGATGTTCTGCAGATCCAGAGGACAGCAGCTGTCGGCCTGCTGGACAGAAGTGTCCAGGTGTCGCCGCTTCTGCAGGCGCTTGTACTCCTGCTTGATGTTGTGGAGAATTTGCTCTGCGACAGATAAACGAGTTTGACATGTATTAACTAGTTTCCTCAAGCATCAAAATGAAAAGGCAAAAGCAGCATATGCAGACGTGACCATTATGGGTGGATAATGTGACGAGTTCTGGATTACAAACCGGTAACCTTAGCCAAACATGGTTTAGTTAAGGTTACACACCGACCCTGACTCACGATATAATGGTAGAAATAAAACATGAGTAGATAAACATGTAACATTAATAATAATAAGAAATAACTAGCTTTTCCTCCGAAAATTAGTGTTTAGAGTTTCGCTTCGTGTACACCACACCACCCTAAAATACCACCACTGACGAAATGCTAACGCAGTGCACTATGTTGCTAATTAGTGATTTAAGCTTATTAAATGTAGAAGTCGTTAAAATCCGAAATTACGGCCTCCTTTCCCACCTGTGGTGAGCCTGGTCGACACCTCCCCGAAAGGCGAGGGCTCCATACGCAGATATTTCTGCGGCGAAGATACCGGCGACATAACCGGGGCACACCTCCTCCTCTTTGGGGAGGCCTGGCTCATTAAAGGGTCGAAGTCCAGGTTCCTTTTCAGGGTAGCCCCACATGCCATTGTGCTTTAATATATCCAAAGCGTGGTCGACAACAGGCCTTAAATTCCGTGTATTCTGAGTAGGTTGCCTGCCAGGGCCCCGGTGCTGCTAATGCTAACTACCGTTAGCTGAGCCGAATGGGAGCTATTCCGGGATGGAGAAAAAATATGCACTCCTTTCTGTGTGCCGATGGAATCTTCTCAAAATCTTCCAAAATTTAAGTCTATAGTTGTATGACTAAAAAATACAGATGGAAAACGTGGGGGGGGGAAATAGGATAAAATCAGATTCTAACAGATTGTTCAGCACAACTTATAACAACGAGAGCAACGGGACTGACAGCTTCCTCTTTATTCAAGCAAACGGAATCGCTAGAGAGCATGCGCGACGATATCGTCTCAAGCTGGTTATTGTAGTTTTAAACACACTCAGTGTCCATGTGTTGTACTACTAAACGACTACATTTCCCAAAAGTCAAAACTGAAACGGTCAGTTTTTAAATTTGTTTTGACTGATAGCAACTCCTTTGATCCCACGACAAACTTTCGACACTTAAGTTATTTGAAATATAACATGATATTATCTTTAGTTTAATGTTCTTAAAGAAGAATAAAAAAAAAACTTAATGAAAAAATATTTAGGTCTAGGGCTTTTCAGCAGATGCAAATTATCTCACTCATGTATGCCAACAACATTATTTGATATTTTTTCTTATTGCTAATGTTCTTACATGTACAGTATAACTAGTCACTGCACATGCCTTTACATTAAGGTTCATTTTGCTTTTAAGTGTTTAGACTAACACCACCAGATAATAAAAATTCCTGAACTTTGTGGTTTGTCTTTATAAATGCAAACTCTCTCTGGATATTAAGAATTAAATTAATGAAGACTTCCAGTGTGCAGCTAAAAGTATATGACATTCTGTATAAAGCATAAGCCAGTGTTGTTGTTTGAAGAAAACAAGTACTTTCATCTGCCAAATATTTCCTTATTTGATTGTGTGTGAAAGTTAGAAATTTGGGGGAAATGTCTTTAATTCTAGCACCATATAGATCAAAAGCAAATCCTAATTGTGAAACTAAACTTCACCAGATTCATTGTTAAAATACATTTCTAAAAGATTTGTATAAATTTTCTGTCAGATGACAAATTAGTTGATTGATCGGTGCTTTGTTTGTTTGTTTCTTCCTTTATTTATGTGTACAGAAGCAAAAACCCTGTTACAGTAAACATTTGATCAAAATTAACATAAATTTGTTAATCTGCATGAACAGATGTTGCAGTTTATCAGTTACTCTTGGGTTGGAGGTAAAAAAAAAACAAAAAACAAAGCAGATGTTTCTGTCAGAAAATGCTTTAACAGCTGTTTACTTCTAATTGAACAGTTTTGCGTTAACTACACTATCAACAGAGATGCAGTTCATCCATCACAATGCTGCACTTAGAATCTCCACAAGGGAGCAGTAAAACACTGCAGATGGCTTTGCCTTACCTTTATCTCAGCGAGCTTGGCCTCCTTTGTTAGTGATCAGTAGGTAGATGACGTAAAATGTGTCGTGACCTCATGTTTCCAAGCAGTCAAAAAACTGTAGGCAAAATTACACCAGCTGCGACTTTATTCAAATGTTTGAAAACACCAATACTAGAAACACTTGACGGTTGTTTGTAAGCCATATATTCCTCATTATGCCACCAATGTACAGAAGCCACTTGACAGTTGACATTTTGATCTTCAATACTCAAAATCACAAGAATCAGCAAAGCATACTGATAAACAGCTGTCTGGATAACTTCACACCAAGATAAATGTCCACAGAACAATTCTGCCGTGAGATTTCTAGAGTTAAAGTTCTACATCGTCTATTTGAAAAATCTTCTCAGCTTCTTTTGTAAGGTCAGTTGCCAGCTCCACAGAATTCTTACACACACATCATTTAATTAGCTTACCAGTAATGAAAAGACCTTTGATTCTTTGTTTTGGAGAAGTAAAAATGGACAGCAGACATATTTTTATTACTACTTCACTGGCCCTGTGCACGGGTTCCTTTTTGTTCTCTGAAATGATGCTCCGCTGCAACAGTAGCACTAAAACAACTCACTGCAACGTTAAGAAGGCTTTGGGGTTGGTAACAGATCACAAGTAGTTACACACATATGAGGTTGAATCCATTAAATCAAACTTCTGATGAAAAGCAGCTGTGGTTGGAGACCACATTAGTTTCTCACAGTAGTGACCAGCACACTGCGTCCTGTTTAAGCCTTCCCCAGAATAATGGCCTTTGTGTTGTCCTGGCTGTGTAGCTGAATGAATTGGTTTAGACTTTTTATTCTGCAATAAAACACTGTACAGTTGTTATATATATATATTTGAATAAAGACGTCACACAGCAGGTGTAACAGCTAAGAAGCAAAGAAATCACTTTGCCACAGAAAATGCCTTTTTTAAGGTTCCTCGTACTCAAAAGCTACAAGTGTCTTTAGCTCTATGAGCCATAATTGTTTTTGATTTTCTTTTTTTTTATCCTTGAACAGTCACTTCTCAATGATCCCTCCACACAGTTGCCACTCACTGAGTGTTGTCACACAACATACAAATGTTACACGTCCGACAGCAATTTAAAAAAAACAACAATTAAATTGAATTGAACTCCTTTTTCTGTTTACTTTTAGAAATGTACATACGCAACATGAGGCCTCTCGAAAGTCAAGGAGCAATGATTCATTAAATTCCATTTCATATTTGTTGTATGCAATGATTGTGCAAGACACATGTTCAATTCTAAATGACACTATAAAACATCTCTACCTAAAAATGTCAGTAGCCCCTTATCCCATGATGACATTGTTTTCAAAACCTGAATTCACAGTACAAAAATATAATATGCCTCTGCTAATAAGCTATCATCATGTCTGTGTTTAACAGCAAACTTCTGACAGCCTTCCATGATTCTAACATATTGTGAGTCCTTTCTGTGATCTTTCAATACCATTTGGCACTTTGGTACACTATGTACTCATTCAAAAACATAAAATGATGGAACCACTAAAGCTTCTGTGTGAGGATGTAAGTCAACACTTTCAGGACAGGACTTCTCTGGAATGCCTGACCTCTGTCTTTGTGAGTGTGTGTGTGTGTGTGTATGGGTGGGACGGCATTGTTTGGGGAGGATGACATTTACACGTGTTCCCTGTGATGGCCAATTAGACGGCTTCTGCAGAGGTTTCGGTTGACACAGACATGGTTACTTTGGCTATTTTCACAGTGGTCTTCACGCAGCTCTCCGCGGCCCTGTTGGCAGAAATGTTGGCATTTCTGTTCTGGCAGTCTGACTCCAGGCTATTGTCCAGCTGCTGGGCGCTGCCCCTGCAGGCGCCGCAGGAGCTGAGAAAGGCGTGCCGCAAGTCTTTGCTTCTCAAGGCGTAGATGATGGGGTTGACTGTGGAGTTGAGCAAACAGAGCATGCTGCAGAACGCAAACACTGTCTTGATGTCATCACCCATCCTCCAGAATAGGTCGTAGACCATAATGGCGAGAAGCGGACCCCAGCAGATGACCAGCACCACCAGGATGAGTACCAGGGTCTTGGCCAGACGGATGTCCATGCGAGTCTGCTCGGGTCTTGTCGTCTGCACCTTAGTTCCATCTGCCGAGTAGACGACAAGGCTCTTCTGGGAGGTGCGGCTCAGCATGCGCACAGCGTGGTGGTGCGCTTTCCACAGGATGTATATGTAGGCGTAGATAATGAAAAGGACCAGGACGCTGGTCACGCCGATCCAGAACATCAGGTAGTTCTCGTCGATGAGGGGGAATATGTCTGAGCAAACGGAATTGAGACGTTTACAGTTCCAGCCCAGCAGAGGTAGCACCGCGATGATGATGGAGATGGTCCACATCATGCAGAAGGCTATGACAGCCTTGGTCCGTGTCACAATGCGCCTGTAGGCGAGGGGCCGGTGGATGGAGATGTAGCGGTCAATCGCGGTGAGGAAGAGGCTCCCGACCGATGCGGTGAAGGACGCCGTGACTCCACCCAGCTTGAAGAGAAAAACATTGGGGCTGTCCTTCCTGTGGAAAACGTGGAAGTCCAAAAAGCTGTAGACGAAGATGACGCTGCCCAGCAGGTCGGCCACGGCCAGACTGCCGATGAAGTGGTAGGACGGCCGGCAGCGGAGGGTGCGCGACTGCAGGATGACGCAGAGCACCACCAGGTTCTCCAGAACCGTGAAGGTGCCCAAAGTCAGAGACATCACGGCCACGGCCAGCTGCTGGCTCGGGGTCAGGATCATGAAACACTCCATGTCCATAAAGTTCTCCCCACACTGGATATTACTGCTCTCATCTCGATGCGTGCTCCTGTTGCCGAACAAGTCCGTGGCATTGGTGGGGAAGAAGGGGATGCCCTTGAGGATGAGGTCCTCGTCCGCAGGTACTTTGTTCGGGAACGCGTCGCTGCGGAACGCAGACAGGGGCTTCTGCATGGAGAAGCTTCCCTTGATGTCTACGTCATTCATGGGGTCGTCGTAGTTGGCATCGTTGGAGCCAAGGTACTGCAAACCAGAGGTGATAGTCCGGAAGGTGGTGTCCGCCACACCGTCCAGCACAGATTTCATGGCTGAGTCTGAGGGTAATACTGCGGTCTAAGATGCCCGGACAACCTATGATGTAATAACAAACATTTCAGTTTTTTTTTTTTTTTCAAATCTTAAAATCTCTAACAGACGCCCGAACTTACAGTATGTCCTCTTACGTTTGCAGCAAAGCAAAATTTCACTCTCCATCTCCGATACCACCCCCCCAAAAAAAAGCGAAGTAACCTTGACAAAATCCCAACCTCTCATTTTAAATATTTGACGCTGAACTTCCAGTGTGCATGATTCAGATACATCTATGTCCTTATTCACATAACAAAATCATAATCTCTAGGCTAATACTAAAATAAGAAAACCCTCAACCAACAAAAACAATTGCAAAGATCTTTGTCTTTGAGGGTTAGAATGATTGACATCAAACAGGCGTATTTGTCTGCTGATAAAAATCACTGATATGAAACAATTAGATAAATTAAAACTAGACATTAAATGTCTAGTTTCTTTTGGCCAACGATTTACATTTCTTCTAATATGAGTCATTCAAATATTATATTCGTTACTAAAATTGATTGTGATACAAGAAAAAAAAAACAGGTTAACAACAAAAAACACGTTAAGAGTTCATGCAAGAACTACTTAGACATTTAAGAGAGTGAAAAGTCTTTCTTTTACCTTACATAATTCTTCCAAATGCGCAGAATCGCCCTTTATCACCGCACGTTAATCCAAGTCAGAAGCGCATCATCCAGCAGACGCAAATCTTAGATTAAAGGAGTAACAAACAGCGCGCGTGGCTTAGAATGAAATCATCCCTTTTACCAGGAGCTTTCTTTTAATTGTTTTTTGTCTTTGCAAATTCTGTAGAAACAGAAGTTTGACGGGGGGCAGAAGCGTCTTGGCGCGCCTGGAGTGCGCTCCTTCTGTGTGGAAACAGGTTGCTGCTGCTGCTGCTGCTGCCTCCTCCCGCGTCTCTCCAGCCTCGTTCTCTGTGTCTTCTCATTTATGAAGCGTCGCTTCTCCTCAACCCGATCACGTGTTCCAATAAAGCTTTTGTCTGCCCTGCCCATGAAACTGTCAATTGCGGCACAGAGAAACAAGAGAGACGACGTGAGGACATGCATGGAGAAAGGATTTGGATTGGAGTTCTTTCAGGTGTAGTTTCACAAAATGAAAAAAAAAAACAACAACACTTCAAAGCACATTGAGAATAGCGTAGAAAAATTCACAAAACATTAATAAGCACATTAATACATTTTTGTCTTGATAGAAGATGCAGTTTCATAATGAATATGATAGTAGAGTGTCAGAGAAGGCTTTGATAAGCCTTTTAATCCCGTCTACAAAAACAGGTGTTCACTGATAGTCAGTGCATGTCTCTTCATTACATGAATAATTCAGTAAAACTGACAATGTCAAAGAACAGAGAGCAGACTCTACATTTTCTGTGTTGGCTGTTAGACCCATGCAGCCAGCCCCAAGCCGCCCATTTTTCGGATATTTTCTCATTCAAAGTGGTTCTTTCTGAAAAGCGAGTCCTTTCTTACACTTAACTGTAAAGCCGAGGAGTCGGCCAGACTGGCCAGTCATGATTCATGCGTATTTTCTCATGTTTTTTTCTCACATTCACACCCAAATTCCTTCTCCTCTGGAAAACCAGGCTACTTATCACCACATTCAATCAGATTAAGGGCAAACTAATTAAGAGTCAGATCCTGTTATGATTAACAACAACAAAGTCTGACCCCTGCTCTGCCTTAATGAAAACAAATTAAAGTCATTGGTCATGAATGATCTCATTTCCATGCATTCTAACTTTGAGGGGTGTTTTTTTTTCCTGAGCACCTTGCACATGGTGCATGCAAACAAAGAGGGGGCTGCTAGCATTTTGTGGCCACAGCCCACAGACCAGAGTACCAAAGCATCTACCTCTTTTGGACTAAATTAGGTCATGGCTCACTCATCAACAGAGGGGTAATTATCAATTCTGCCTGGTTGTAGTTTAAATTAAATGTATGAAATTCCCAAAGTCTATTATTATGCTAAATTAATCTGCAAATGGGAGAAAGGTGACTGCCATTTTGCTCTTTTTATTTGTCTAAAAAATACTCTCTGAGAATAGGAGCAAATATGGTGGGCTCACAGAGGATGTGCAAGCTATTTCCAGTCATGACCAACAGGAAAACACACATACAAACCAGTTTGGCTCACTCGACACAAAACTAAAATTAGAGACAGATGATAAATCCAGTTTATAATTAGTATTTTGTATAGTTGAGAAATGTGCAAATAGCGTGATCTTTTAATTTTTTTTGCATGTTCACCATCATAGTCAGAACAAAGATGTTTTAAACCTTAAGTGGCCAAAAACCTCTCTACAGTCTGGTTACAATCCTCCCACAACAGAGTGCAAAGTGACTGACTGCTTATTGTGCATACATCGACACACCACACCCATAAATGTAGCATATCTCTACCACAAAACATTTGTGGTATAGGTGGCACCACTTCAGGTATGACTAATGTTGCGCCAAATGTTGCAGCAACATGTTTTTGTTTTAAATTATGTTTTAAATTGCATTGTGTTTGTATTTTAGTATTTATCTTAATTTATTTATTTTGTCATTCATGCTGTTTTAACCTGCACAGGACTGTGGTCAGCCCCAGTGGTTTTTAAATGTGCTGCATAAATAAAACTTGAGTTGAGTTGAGCAAAAAATTCAAATGCATTCGTTTAATCCAAGTCACTAAGAGTTTTTAATATTCACCACATGGAGCAGTTAGACTTTGGGCAGAAGGTTGGTTTTTCCAAAGTCACTGGTGTTCTGTGACAGTTTTCTCTGACTTGCTTGGCATGCTAACCTGTGAGTTAGCAGTGAGTGATGGCTGAAGCAAAGCTCACAGCCATCTGTGTTTCAGTTGTGGTACATAACATTTTGTCCTCAACAATGACTCATTTTGAGTCTCTGGATCAGAGGAAAGAGCTCAGGGGGGAATAATCTGCATGCACTGGAAGGGTGTCTTATGTGAGCTGTAATTTGAGTAACTCATTACTGAGTGCTAAATGACTGATTTCCCAGATCAGGACAGATTAGCTGTGATGTATATTAATATGATTTGATACAAAATAAATATCAAACTCAAACAAATTAAACCTCATAAGAATTTTAGCAACACTGTAAACAACCCACAACTCTGATCTCTGAAATGGCATTTTAAATCTGAGAGACTTTATTACAGATTCATGATTTTACCAGCAAACACATTATTGTGTATTTTGCTAGTTTATTTTTATCTTATGACCAGATGGATTGGATTTGCTTCCTAAAGGCGCTGACTTTCTAAATGTCTTTTACTGCTACAAAACTTTTGTTTCTGACAAATGACTCGATTTTCTCTGGATGGTAGTTTTCCAAAGCAAATTAAAGCAAAAATATTCCCTTTTTACACTGCATGCCCAACACTATAAAACAAATCATGCACAATTGCTTAGCTGTGGCTCAGGGTTTTGCACAGTTACCTGCCAATGTGGGTCACATGTTACAGTCTCACTGGTCAAGACACTGAGGCCCCCGTTGCCTGCAAGGCAGCCTCAAATAGGGTGCTGTTCCTGTTTGTGCTGCTCCTGAGCTACAAGAAGGGCACCTGGTGCAAAAACTCCTGCCAAACCTGCTATGAGTCAACGTGCTGTGGAGACCCCTGAAGGGAAAGGCAACAAAAACATTAACAACTGCTTAGCAACCGTCAAAGTTATTCTTTTACAGCAGATGGTTGTACCTTTTTTTGAAAATGAGGGTATTCTGGCACATTTCCAACTATTCCCACTGTCAGTGAGGTGGTGTATAACCTGGACAGGTTGCCAGTCCATTACAGAAGCCAACACAGACACAAAAAAACACACAACCTCGCACTCTGGGAGAGATTGTCTCTGGGAAAACACACATGGACAAGGTGAGAACATGCAAGCTCTACACAGAAAAGCCCTGGGTGAGAAAGAAGGCTGGAGCCAACACAGCATGACATCAGGACATGTGTACAACTAAATTCATAGATGGCTTTTGATTATGGTTTTTCTAAGAAAAAGAACTAACATGCACAATATTTACCTAACAGAGATGCTTTGCAGTGGAGTGATGTTTGTGCCAACCTCACTTTATTCCAGGTCCACCTCAGATGTGGATATGTTGGGTGTTGGGTGAAATTTGAGAGAGTGACTTTTCCAAATAAAAATGACTGTTACATGCAAGATATACACTTTGTCTTTTTGCATTTTGACACCAGTAAGAGCTCCCTGGATCTAAGCCACTGTAAGAAGAATTTGAAACTTTTGTGCAAGACAGCAGTTCAACTTTGATTGAATTTTTTCTTCAGTCAAGAAAAATACAGAAAAACATGGTTAGCATGTGAGAAAACTACTGTGACAAATTGGCTGTTGTCTGGAGACCCCACAAATGACACCAACAAGCTATAAATTCTGTGTGTTGTTGTCACGCAGCTGCAGCATGAAAAATGATAGCTTACTCCTTTGTTTCCACGACCACTGTCAACCTCTGCTGCTTTGTGCTAAACAATGAACAATCACCTGTAATTATGATGAAAAGACGTGACTAAAACAGTGTTTAGAATTGAATATATAATGGTCAAACAACAGACAATATTCTGGTCAAATTAACCAATAAACTGGAAAAAACAGAGCAGAACTTAATGTCTCAAAGGTTTAAGAATGAAGTCACATTTTCTTCATTATACTATGATTGTCGTTGGAGTTTTGTTAGTTTTTTTCTCTGGTAGAAAACAGCATTTAAAACTTTAACCTCAGACTCATCGTGGGCACAATGATGGCATCATTTCATCTAGTAATACAGTGTATGTACACTGTATTTGATTTGTCATTGAGCAAAGCTGAAGAGGCACATTTTGGAGTAAGGAGACGGGAAAAGGCAAATCAGCATAAGTTTATCTCTAGGTTTCTGCCAAAGCGATGAAATGCATTAAAGTCGGACGACTCACATGGATGAACACAGCACAGCTGTGCTGCATGTGGACTGATGATACTGCCTCTTCAAGCAGCCTCATGCACATTTTACGATTAGTAAGTCAAAGCAGGTAATATGGATGAACATGCAGCACTCTGAGCTGAGAAAATGGGGTTTGTATCTAAAGTATGTCTGCATGGACATCCTACAGTTTTACTGGCCGTTAAATCAAGTGCCAAGGCAAATAAAAAAAGAGTACTGTGCGTTACATAACTGCTTTTTAATTCATCTAAGCTTTCAAGCTTTGAGGATGAAAACTCATCTTCCGAGCGATTTTTCTAAAAAATTCACATCAAGTCTAAGGTGCTTTGTAACCTTCAAGGTATTAAAATAAATGTTCACCCAAAGCTTAACCTAGATTAGAAGCAGAGAAACTGCAAGCTTGGCTCCATCTAAAGGTAATAAAATATTTAAGACCCACTAATCATCACATTCTGTCTATTTTAGTTCATTTTTATGAGGAGTAGAAGATATTTTGTTGTTAGATGGGGGGCTTTTCTAGTTAGACAGCAATGATTTGCTAGTCATGTTATTCACTGATAAAAGAATCAAAAAGTATGGGCCTCAAAATGTGAAAAAAAACAACCTTTAAAATAATAGAATTGATTCCGCATTCAGCACACAACCGCTCATCCGTGCACAGAGGAACACAGACCTTGAAAAAAAATTACATTTTTAGGTGAATTTTTGCCTCAGAGAAATAGAATGTGTGATGGTGCATACAGGATTTGTGTACAGGACACTGACCATTCAGTTGTCTGCAGGGGTTTCACATCCCTCATCAAGGTTGCATGCACAGCTCAGATCAGCCACGGCTTCTGCTCCAGTGTTGACGGACACGGTTTCTGCAGTCTGTAGCTGTGAAAACTGTGAATAGGATCAGCTTTATTGGGAGTTTGGGCGTTTTAACATGCACAGATTATACACAAAAAGGAAAAAGCAAGAGCAAAGTCTCTATACTCATTAGAGCCTTGCTGAACATGCACATGCAAATCCAATCCCAAGGCGGAATATTGTAACAGTTTCTGACAGACTTATCTGTTTACACTTATTCTAAAAGTGAAGTTTTGCTTTGACTTTAATAATAATAATGTGTATGCTGTTATGTAAAGGAACTTGAACTGAGGAGGTGTTACAAAGTTCTCAACGTCAAAAGACACGATGGAAAATTAAATGAACATGTTGTAGGAATGAATGGTTGCCTTCAAGCCTAAAACCCAGTATACAATCCATGGAAAAATTGTGAGATAGAGGCTCTGTCAAAGTCACTTAAAGGGATCTGCCGCCTCAGAGTATAAAAAAAGAACTTTTAAGCTCCTTTTACAGAACTATGCTAACTGGGTTGGTATTCAAACAGGTTGCTGAAGAGCTTTACAATGAGTTAATCAGATATTAGAGAACAGTGGGCAGAGGCATGTGAATCAAACTAAGATTTCCCTTTTAATTTGGGAGATTTATCCTTTATTTCATTCAGCCATCCATCCTTTATCGTTACCGCTTATTCCCTAATGGGGTCGTGGGGAGAACTGGAGCCTATCCCAGTGGTCAATGGATGATCCGCCAGTCCTTAATTTCATTGTATTAGCTAAATAAGTATGCCACTAACAATCAAAATAATTTTGAGAACTGCCCTGATTGGAGTTTAGAAGTTAGATGACAATATTATACTTGTAGGTGCACAACTTACTAATTTTTGTACCTATTCAAGGGCTCTGTGCATGCCAAATAGAAGCCAGAGCCATTGAATGGAATGGAATACTTGAAATTGCTCTGACAGCTTTAATGCTCATCCACATGCACTTGCAAGCACTTACAAAGTCCTGTGCTTTTTGTATGTGGCAGTATTAGTGTGTGGGATATTACATTTAGCCCAGAGTTAAGTAAGTAGGTAATAACGTACGCTCATAGGATCGAAAGATGCATAACTCTTTTCACTCACAATGGAGAATAAATCTCATCCACTTTTTTGCAACGGTGGGAAAAGTGAATTCTTTACAAAGACACAAAGCATGAAGCTTCCAGCACACTGAGACACACGCAGTTGCATTCGACATTAGAAAACTGTGCTCTCACAGCTGTAAGCCAACCCGCCGTACACAGCAGCACCAGGGGAAGAGCAGTTGTATCGTATTATTTCACAATGACACCGTTTCTGAAATAGAATACTTTTGTTACTGCGGCTGGTTTGAAAGATCAAGATTGATTTTCCCTCCAGCCGGTTTTCCTCTCACAAAGAGTAAGAGAGAGTGTACCCTGAAATAAGTGTGACCCGAAGTGGGTGTAAGTTACCAGCTACCAGGCACTGTTCATATTTGCAGTTATATTAGGGTCCACGTGTTAAATCTCTTTGCCCATTGCTTCCCACAATTCTGAAAGCCACTATGCATTTCAGATTGACCACCGCTGACTCAGAACAAAGAAGAAAATCCCCTCAGCCATGTTGTGCGCTTGTCTGTCAGAGAATTAAAAAGAATTGCTAATGCAAACACTGATGTTTGGACAGTCAGATAAGCAGTTTACACATTTTCATCCGGGAGGTTTCCAATGGGATATAATTCTTGTTTATGCAAAAACTATTAAATCAACATGAAGCAGGTTGACTGAGAGTGACATTATTATAAAAAATAATTAATTTCAAGTGTATTTTTTCTTTTTTATTGGTGAACATGTGAATTTTAGACGTGAACCTCTAATACAAGAATGAAAGGATGGTTTGGAAAGGACTTCCGCGGTATATCAGGATACACTGAAGGATATTTTAGCAATATTTGTCGACAAAACATCCATCATATTGGTCATGAAAACATTTTTAACTACAAAGCTCAAGACCAAACCAGTGAAGTCTGTCTCAAAACGAAAAGAAAACACATGGAAACATTTTCTGACTGCGCGAGCCAAACCAAAGCTTCCAAACCTGACCTTACCTGCCTGTTTGTGAAACGCAAACATCCCGTCTCTTCTTCTGAACTACCGCGTTTGCCTCAGATATTTGGTTGGCATGACAACCGGTGAGGATTGAAATGACTGGTCACGTGAGCCAGCCAAGGTTGAACACAAACAGAACGAGGGGGAACACAATCAATTGTTTCTGCGGGGGAAATGACTTCACAACCGAAAGGTTTGCACCAGAACAAAAAAAGGCCACACAAGATGTCCTGTGCCAATTATCCCAGGGACATCCAGGAGGTGTGAGCATGCCTCCTTTGCCGGCATCTACAAAAGCTGAGGTGGGTGTATTCTCCGGCCCAGCACATCGTGATCCGACAAGTGTTACCGAGCTGCACACCAACGACGCATTACAGCTCCTTGAGGACGCGAGGAGACAAACAACAAAAGAAAAATGAGTTGTACCGGGTAACATCTGCTATCTGAACCGAGGCTGAGCTCGGGCGTCATGGCAACTGAATCCCTCTGAATGAGATGTTGGTGCTGCCGCATCATGCGGACGAACAGCGGGTCTCTGGACAGATCCGTTTCGGAGAACTGATCCCAGCTCAACTGTGAGAGCTGACGGGGCTGCAGTCGTTCTCAACTGACCGGCATCTGTCCAGAGAGAGTTTAGAAGCAACAGGCTCAGTGAGATAGCACACAAACCCCGAGGCAACTTTCCGGACTTATCAGCAAACAAAAGTACATTCGAATTCTTCGTGTAAAACTTCATTTTTGCTTGAGTAAACCTGCATAAATCATTTGACAATTACTCAAACAATTACCCAAATGAGTGACTCCAATTGTGTTGTTCAATGATTAATTCAAAATGAAAACCTGAATAGAAAGGTACATAAACAACTGTCAAACAACGTCTGGTCCTCAGCAGCAGTGTAGTGTATAAAGATATTCAACCTGAAAGAGCGTAATAAAGCATACTCTTAGACAATCATGCAAGGACGTTAACGCTTTATTGAAATAGAAAAAAAAAGATTATCATCCTCCCCACCATCATTTAATGATGGACAAAGAAAGCAAAACAAGGGTTCTGAGATGAAAGGCTGAAATCCTTATATTTAGAAAATATTGAAGAAAAATTCAAATGTATTTTTTGCCAATCGGTTAAAAGAAAAAAATGAGAGAAAAAGGCAAATTACACTGTAACTGTGGCAGCAGATTAATTGGAGACAGGTGAGGGTGTCAGGATTGGTTATAAAAGGAACATTCAACAAAGAAAGGATGGTTCACAGGACTTTAAATAAAGTCATCGATCAGTTATAAATAAATAAATACATCTTTCGGTGAAAGATTTGTGGGATTAGGGATTGGGAGATTCTGGAGAATTCAGCAGCTCAACTGCTGAGGACAGAAAAGATTGTTGTGTGTGAGACCTTGTAGCTAAAGGTAAAGACGGGGGAATTTAGAAAATAACTTCTGAAAAATAAGATTTTTTTTCACAACAAACAAATACTCTCAGGAGTTTTCTTTCATATTTAGACAGCTTTGAAAAATATGGTGTAATTTCATCTTTAAAGAGTTGATGAAATTTGTTATAAATGCCGCTATTCAAACAGCATTTTTTAAAATGGTTTCAATGAAACTTCTGCCATGATAATAAACTTAATAAGAACATGTATAATTGCATCAAGGACATTCCTTTCATAAAAATGGATTCTGTAGAAAAAGGTGAAAATCCAGATTTACTGTTTGTCCTCATCCACACCGTGAAAGCATACAATTTAGAAATTTCTCTCTGGCACTATCTGTCCTTTTTTTCACACAGGTAGGCACAAAGATAATCAAACCACTGACACTGAGCATCTTTGCTCCACATACTTGCACTCTGAAAGCCTTCCGAATGTTACCAAGGGACTCATTTCAGGTTCGTGTACCCCTGAATGCACAAAGTCGTCTCACGTTCGCCAGGTTTCTGTGAAAACAATTACGCTGCTGTCACTGCTGAAGCAGCTGTTCACACCAGGCCCCAAAACATGGCGGGGGGAAAATGGAGTGAAAGTTAGATTTGCAACCAATCTAAAGACAAACAGATGCATTTTCACAGCTCAGCCACAGCTTTTATACAAATGAATCCTGTCAATCTCCGCGTCACACGCCGATGTTCCGTGTGAAATCCCTTCATCCCGGCAGTCATCGGGTGGTTACTTGACTTTCCCTCACCCAGTGGCTCAGAAGGAGAGAAAAAAGAAAAGATAAACAACTAACACAGGTCCATTCAATAAATCAAATGGTCGTGTATTTGTTAAAAAATGTATTCCTCAGTGAGAGTCCAAATATCTGCATCACAAGGCCCGTTATCAGAGCCGATATTAATATTCTCTTCACATCTATACTGTGTCCTAATATGATTTATGTTGGCTGATTATATTTATCATCCACACTCACATAGAAAAACTGAATTTGCTGGTCTGAAATGACATCAAAGATAAGTTAGAAAGAAACTTTAATTACTCTTTGAGGGGAAACTTGGGTGCTGCCACAGTGACAATGACAAATAAATAAATAAGAATGAATAGAGCAAATAGGTTTTTCAAGCATGAATGATTAGAATAAAACTTTAGCTCCAGAACAGTAAACAAATGAAGTCATAGACGAATGATTTTATATTGCAGCCTTTTCCTAGTCGCGGGGAGACATTTGGGAGAGGAATAAAAGCAGGCAAGATTAATGTAGCATAAATCAGTGTGAGTGTGTACTTGGAAATTCTAATCTCTGAAATCTTTTTAACACTTGAAAGTGTGAAAATGGGCCAACAAAAAAGCCACAACTACAGTTCAACAAATTAAATCAAACCCATCAGATCTGAACCTAATCCCAGGAGAAACTATCTTCTTTTTCAGACAACCAAAACATTCAAACTAACCATCCTTCAAAGAGAAGGTTGCCAATTAAATTCCCATTTTGTTCAGACTGTCATTGTACGACACAAAAACTAAGGTTTTCCTCGATGCGCTCCCTGTCGTGCGACTTAAGAGGAAATAACGCCGCATGCTCTTTTATAAGGGACGGTTTGCAGACATAATGCAGACCCAGATGGTGGGAGGTGCTGTCAAACTCTGAGTTTGAATTGAGGCGTGAGGGCAGGCCGCTGGTGGAGGATGTTGTGGGAAGGAGGCTGAGGATGTGACTGACGGACAAACCGGAGGAGGGGAAACAAAGCTGTCATCTCCCCCCCCCCCACCCCCCCGCGCTATTTACATCTTCAACAGAATTTGTGCACAAACTGTCACAATGTAGACACATCTCTTCTCAAAACGGAGGAGGCGGGGGAGGTTTGCCAAAGTTCCACAGAGCTGTGGCTGTGTTGACGAGGAGCAAAAAGTTCTCATTCGTCACGATAGCAAAGGAAGGAACAATTGAATTCCTGGACAAAAACAATAGAATTTTCGGGCATCAGGGTTTCTCCTTCGTACATTCGGCTTCTGCTTTTATGAAAGTTTTCAGAATTATCCTATTTCAGTTCCTACATTATCCTAAGAAGGCAGTTATAGATTTTGAGGTCATTTTAACTATGCACTAGCTGTGAGAACCTTTTTGGAATGTATTTGGGACATCAGCATAAAGATCAAATTTATCTCTTTGGAACTCTCATGAAAGGGAAAAATGGGTGTTTTTTTTCTAATCATCTTAAAAAACATCTCTAAGATCTGCTCTTTGACTCTGTAAAATGCAAACATGTCATATCTTTGTCAGTTCTACTCTGAAACAGAACCCAAACCGCATTAAATATGCTTCATCTTCTGTAGGCTTTAGTTTCTGGAGTTCTTGGAGACAAAATCATCCCCTGTTAAACCCCCTATGGATGTTAAACAAGTGAAAGCCTGTCCGCTGTGACTCACAGGGCACTCTTTGATGCGTTGGGACGGTATTGTAGGGGAATTCAGCCTCTTAATCCTCACAAATAATGCTGTTACTCACATGTGCGGCGCTTTGTGCAGGCCCGTGCTGCAGTTTCACAAAAGCCTTTCTCTGCTCTCCTCACTGAAGCTCTCATTTCAAAGCTTTTCCTGTTGTTCCACTGTATCAATTACAAACACTCCCCAACACTATGATTCTGACTCACATTCCCACTGTTGGATCAAATAAATAAATGAATTACTTGTTGTTGTTAGACATTGAAACCGCTGTGTGGGGGACTACTTTCTAACTGTCTTTTATTTTAGTCACAGGTTACCTCTTAAGTCTGTTGTTTGTATTTGGAGACAATACAGATAAAGTTGTGCATATGTTTTCATTAACAAGTTAAAAAAGTGCATCTCAGGCGCTTGGAAATGTGTCAGATTCCAGAAGCAGTGACTGGTTCGAGCCCGGAGTTGGTTAAATGAGCCTTGGTGTCTCCCCACTCTTAGTGTCTTAACAGTGGGTATCAAATGCCCGTGACACAGACTCATGTCATTAGTGGAAGCTGGAAGCTGGAGGGGAAGCAGAAATCAAATGCGTGACGACGATGGCACATGCACAGGTTACAAGAACCTGCAGCACTTTCAACTGCCACATTAAGGGTGTGTTCCGTTGAATCAATCGAGAGGAAGGACTTCTGGATTTGTCAGAACTGTCTCTGGCATTGAGTTACAGATGCCAGTAATTGACACAACACAGAAAACCCATTTGCATATTGACGCTGAACAGGGAAGGTAATTAGAGGAGAGCTTCCACAAAACCACCAAAGAGGAGGTACATCATCATACAGAGGCAGTCGCATTTGGTCTGTGCGTTTTGCTAGCTCTCAGCAAAGCTTGTGGCGAGGAACTCTTGATCCAGACCATGAAACACGTATAAGATAGGTTAATGTAAGGTTAGAATAAAGGTTGATATAAAAAAATGCATGTATTTTTCATATCAACCTTTATTCTTCATGTATTTATGTTTGGCATACATTGAACCCCACTGTAAATGCCATGGTTTAGAAATCTGTGAACAACATGGCATAGAGAGGTTATAAAACGTTCAAAATTAGGATACATCAGTATTTCTGCATCATGTTCAAGTATGGCCGTTTCTATGCATTACAGAGCTTAGAAGTTAATTTGTGGATGTCACAGTGAACTGTGTCTGCAATGATTTCTGTGACAGAATCGTATGTGTTTTCAGGCACCGCGTATTTATTTTCAGCACCAACTTCCGCACAGCTATCTCCAGACTCTCTGAATAAGTTTAAGGTGACAGAATTACATGCAATGTTTTATCAGCGAACGACTGAAGTCATTACAAAAATGGGTTTGCATTAAAAATGGATTTCCAAAATGGTTTTCACAAATATTATTAGAAAGAAAGTGTTAATACAGGAAACCCAATTGTCTGCTTTTAATATGCTGAGATGAAAAGTCAGGATGCCATGCCTTGTTTCTGCTCATTATTCACCAGTTTTTAATAACCTCTGCAAGCTACTTTTTGCATTTAATGTCAGGTTTGAGCCTCTCGTGTTTTTTCTTCCATCTTATCTCTCGGCTTATTCAAACATAGCAGAAGTCATAGCAAAATGTATTTCGGTTAAAATGAAAGTCATTAACTGGGGACTTTCATCCTCAACAGTAGGGATCAATTAACTTGTCTTAAATTTACTTTCCATGTCTAAA